CGGGTAACGCCCTGATTGTCCCCTTAGCTTTTCTGAGGTCCAGAGATAATTTCAGTTTTGGTTTCGAGACGCTCTTTGCATTTTGTCATGAAATTCTTTTGAATCCAAAGCGATATTATGTCATTCATAAACTTTGAAAGACTTTTAATGTTAGGTAGGCCAGATTTTACTGTGACATTCCCACACTAGTTTTTCTCAAGTTCACTTGATATATTTCCTTTTAACTTGCAGTCGCAGCTGCCCAATTTGTCGCCATCCTTTGTACAGTCAGACAGGCATGAATGAATGATAACCTCGACTCCAGTGCTGAGAATTCCAAGAAAAGGCAAATTGTTCCTAATTGAGATGTTTTAGATAGCGTCCTGATTAACTTATTCATTCTTTATTGTAGGCGTGAATTTAACTCTTTATTCTTGACTGGCTCCTAATTTGTCCTCACGGTATCACCCTAGAATGAAATGGTGAATGTGACGAAAATAAAGGCACTGATCACCAATTTAGCAAGCTCCTGATTATCAAACAAACTCTCATTGTCAGTACCAGAGGAAATACAAAGAGAACAGTGAAGATTGTTCGGGTGTAGAGGGTTAAAGATCGTAATAGTTATTTTAATCTCACTTGTGCAAGGACGCAAACCTTAGGGGGAAGGGGAAATGAGGGTGGCAGGATCCCCTTAGGTCGAAGTGATTTCTATACAGTGACTTTAATATCCAAATTTATACAAAAGTATACAAAGCATTGTTTTGTCTGGCGAGGAGATGGAAAGCCAAGTGCATCATAAAAGTGAAGCCATTGTAAAATAAAATTCTATTTCTTATCATTGTAGGGAAAAAATCAGAGTAAATTGTCCACAGGCTTAAGCAGCAAATTAGATTTGGTAGCGGGTTGTTTTTTTCGTAATCTAAAATGAAAAAACGCTTCAGGGGATTTTGTAACCTTTCGGCCAAACAAAACATTTCACTTGGTGTTGTTATTAAATTCCTGGAGGTGTTTCATGGTTATTAGAGTGCTATGTGAAATAAAGCCCCTCTACAACCTTTTTTTCATATATAGTTACACCAGAACAGGAAGAAAGTGTAAGGATTTCAAATTTCATCTTCTTTGCCTTCGTGAGACGTGCGATAGAAATGAAGGAAAGAAAAATCGAGCTTGCTCTTGAAATTTCGGGAGTCATCTATTAAGTTAGTAACGAGTGATATTAATGCATTTTCAGTAACTAAATTTACTTATTAAGCTTATTTTATAATAAAGTGGTAACCTCCATAAATAAAAGGTATTTAGTTTTCTTAGGTTTTACAATTTT